ATTTGTATTGGTGATGATGTACAGTAATTACATTTAGGCATTCTTAAAATATAATTAAAATTTAAAAGCATGTAAATACACAATAAGTGCAATGTATCAAATGATGCATTTAAATACTTTAGATTCAGACTTTAGACTTTAGAGCTGTAACTATCAAAATAAAAATTGTGGTTCTTGAACTGTAGATCGTTCTTGGCCAGTTCTTGACCGGCCTGTAAATCTGCTTGTATATCTGTCATTATGCTATATTAAAACCAGATATTGGATTCAGTCATTTTGTCAGCTTGTTTTCTTTCAGTTAGCACATGTTTTTGATCATTGAGCTTATGCATCTCAGTATATATATATATATATATATATATATATATACTCAAGTTTTTTAATAGCTATTTTTACAAGGAAGACTACATGTGTAACATGGCGGGGGGAAATCCCAAAAAAGTACAAAAGTTATCAAAATATTTATGGAAAGTTGTTATACCAAAGTCTTAAAACTAAGAGTTTTAGTCCAATGCAATAACATTAACTAGCATTTTTTTGGGGAAAATCTTCTCTGGTTTAAAGGGGTCATAAACTGCCTTTTTTTTTAAAAACTAAATTGTACTGTTTTCTTAGGTCCCCTTATAATGTTATCAAGATGTTTACATAAAAAAATCATAATTTAGAAGTAATAAGCTATTTTCTGTCCTGTTTTTGACCCCCCATCAGAATGCTGTTTGAATAGACGTGGAGGATTGTAGACTCGGAAGTAAACACTGCTGTGATTGGCTAATAGTTGTTTATATTATGACAGCAAGTCCTTCACAGATGGACGCTGCTGTGATTTAGGTCAAAGACACATAAATAACTCAATACATATCAAACAATCTGAAAGAAGAGACAAAGCATCAGTGATCAGTTACTCACACTTGTGTTGCGACATTACTGTCAGATCCAATATAGTCGGCACAACATTGTCTTTTAGTTTCTGTCTTTCTGAAAATTCTGCTTCGAATTGTGCTTGCTTGTAAACGAATCTGCGGTAAAATTAAGTGAACAAAGGGCCGAGTTCTTACTGTCGCTGTCTGGATCTTCATTAAAAATAATGTACATTCACTCTTTCCTAATGTTGGGATCAGAAGGAAGGCAACGCAAACAGTGTTTTTCCACAACTTGGCACTGAACAGCGTATTGTTTTCTTCAGAGCCATCTTTATCGTTCGGTTTCGGCGTAGACCTGCGTTTGCCTCTCTTGTTATTTTCACTACGTGTGTGAATCGGTGGGCGGGGCTAAACAGGTGTTGATCTTCTGCAGAGGCGGTGCTTAGCCACACTATTACATCATAGAGTAGAACATTCCACAAGCTCTCATTTTGGCAGACTGCTTTCAACATAAGCTGTTTCTAGACTAACAAGGAAGTTTCGAGTTCTGAAACTTACAGGATATTTTTATAGTACAATGACCTCTTATGTCTCAAAAGATCAAGGGAATTTTGATTTCTCAGTTCATGACCCCTTTAAAATGACTGGAATACAACAGGAGGATTGCTCTAATCACAATGCTGTTTCTTTCTTGTCTTTGTGACTGTATGAGTGAGTGTTGTATTTATTCCGTCTCTAAAGTCAATCATTGTAGCTCATAAATCTCAGAGAGAGCTAATTCCAATCTTTTTGATCCTTTCCTCTGCTCTAGCCTCCATGCTGCCTCACAGTCTCCACAGCAGGAGGGGCTACACGGGTTGCATGAGGAACCTGTCTGTGAACGAGTCTCCTGTGAGCTTCAGTAAAGCGGCTTTGGTCAGCGGTGCAGTCGGTGTGGGCGCCTGTCCTGCTGCTTGAGCGACGGCAACAGAAATCACTCTGTGTTATTGCTTGTGTTTCAGTGAAGAATGAAGCGTCACTGTCTCTTCAGCATCATTTATAGCTACAGTATTCTATCACTATGAAATAGTTAATTAATTACTAATGTACTGTAATCCAGAGCACTGCAAGCATTGTGTTAAACTGATACAAATCTGGCAACACGCAGGATTCTGATGACAGCGACTCAGAGGTGGAGTTGGGACCTTCCCACAAGGTACGCCTATGGCTCTATGATTTCCACGATGTGGAAAACACGGATAGAATTGCGGAATCCAGTCAACGGAATTTACTGTATAACGTGGAATGTCACGGAATTTGTCAAAGTTTGGATGAATTAATCAAAGGAAGGTCATTACACTTAAATCGTGATATGGACTAGTATCTGTAAATATTAAGCCGCAAAAAGGCTATTTAAATATAAATCCTGCAACAAGGAAGTTTCGAGTTCTGAAACTTACAGGATATTTTTATAGTACAATGACCTCTTATGTCTCAAAAGATCAAGGGAATTTTGATTTCTCAGTTCATGACCCCTTTAAAATGACTGGAATACAACAGGAGGATTGCTCTAATCACAATGCTGTTTCTTTCTTGTCTTTGTGACTGTATGAGTGAGTGTTGTATTTATTCCGTCTCTAAAGTCAATCATTGTAGCTCATAAATCTCAGAGAGAGCTAATTCCAATCTTTTTGATCCTTTCCTCTGCTCTAGCCTCCATGCTGCCTCACAGTCTCCACAGCAGGAGGGGCTACACGGGTTGCATGAGGAACCTGTCTGTGAACGAGTCTCCTGTGAGCTTCAGTAAAGCGGCTTTGGTCAGCGGTGCAGTCGGTGTGGGCGCCTGTCCTGCTGCTTGAGCGACGGCAACAGAAATCACTCTGTGTTATTGCTTGTGTTTCAGTGAAGAATGAAGCGTCACTGTCTCTTCAGCATCATTTATAGCTACAGTATTCTATCACTATGAAATAGTTAATTAATTACTAATGTACTGTAATCCAGAGCACTGCAAGCATTGTGTTAAACTGATACAAAAAGATCTTAAACTGAGGTAATTACTAAAAACCTGATACTTTAAACAAATATGCACAAAATATTAACAAAGCCATACAGTACACATTAATAAAGCTGATGTTTTCTGATATTTGTTTTGCATCTGTATTTCTATGTAAATTCCAACTTCACCTGCAGTATAGGTGAAGAATATTTGAACAAAACTGAAGATAAATATAAATTTATATTAAGTTTATATGAATATGTTTACATTATTATAAATATTAAATTAATATAACAGCAATATACTTTTAACTTTACAACTTTTATAGACCATTCTTATGGACGTTGTAGTTCCAAGTGCAAATGAACAGTTCCATATTTAATGTCTAATACCTGCAAAAGACAAGTTCAGTACAGCTACCTTTTCTCATGTAACCAATTCTGCAGGTTATCCCAAAAGGCACAAGAATTTTCAAGTGAAAAAATCTGTTCTGTATTCTTGGTAGAGAAGTTACAAAGTCTACATAGTGCACTTTTGATATCAATGTAACACTTAGGAACTTATTAGAAGAACAGATATTTTAAAATTGTTCTCTTTAATTTTGGGATGAACATGAATTTTTAAACAAGAGATTCTAATATATTTAACAGTTGGGTAAAAAAATGGATAAATATTAGGAACTTGTCTGCTTGAACTATTAGAACATTTCTCACTTATAAACTCAGACATCCCCAGGTATAATGATGGTAAAATGATGGATTGAAACAAAAACTCAACCAAATGAGAAAGATGTATTTGTAACCATTTATATTTAATTATTTTGATCTTTTTAAACTGGTCTTTGGTCTTTCTAAAATTACCTTCCTGCATTTCTCATAATTGTAATACCTACGGATTTAATTGTGTCCTTAACAGGGATTCCAGAGTAATGTTGTCACATTGGTGAATGGACATGATCTTACAATTTAACGAATGTAAGTGAAGAGTGTGCATGTGTCTGCACTTCGATCTTTAAACCAGATTTAGCCCAGACTCTGTTCCCATCTGGGTAGTAGACCATCCAGACCGGGTATCTTTTGGATTTCAGCATACTATGACCCGAGACACACTAATTCTAATCTTGGATACTGTTTAGTGTGGACAGTATGTGGTTTGACAGGGATTCATTCTCTGAAATGATTATTTATCAGATGTGTAAAACTTTTTTTTAAGTAGGCCTACAGTAAATTAAAGTACAATATCTTTCAACAGCACATGACTGAACATGACAAAATAAATAAATAAAAAAAGCTACAAACTTTAAAAGTAAATAAATAAAATCAAGGAGTAGACCTATTACAAGCTAGCCTAGAACAAGATGACATTCAAATAACAATCAAAGTACTCAATTAGACACATAAATATAATAGGGTAAATAAATCAATAAAATCCGCAGCACAAGCTCAAAAAAAGGTAAAACATATTAAAGGGGTGTTAACAAGATATTATAATTGAATTAATAAACGTATACTTATCAGTTAAATACAACAAAATACCAGCTCTTTATTCTTATTTTAATAATTATTGAAGAGTAAAAACAGGTGGAGACGTGAAAATCTACATTTGTGGATAAAATGCTTTGATAGGGCTGTTCGATTCCGAGATTTTCGGAAAATTCCGATTCCGATTCCTGGATAACCTCTGAATCGTTTTTTTTTAAACTGGTTCTAATGACTTCTAATCACTTTTAGCGAGCACGAGGGAGGCGAATGGTAATAAAAATATAAAAATGAAAATAATCTTTTATCTCACAGCTCTCGTAATTACGGCTTTTAGCGAGCATGAGGGAGGTAAATGGTGCTTCTCAAACGGAAGGCTGCATCCTAAAATTCAGATGATCTCAGTACCGACTCCTTTTCTTTCAGTTTATTTTCGTGAATTTAAATGTGTGCAGCCTTTCGTTTGAGAGGCACCCACAGATAAGCTTTGTTGAACTGAAAAGGGCTCTGAATGAGGAGTCGATTCCCCTTGATGGAATCGATCCCCAGCCCTATGCTTAGAGGAAAATGCTAAAAGGAAAAACTACAAAACAGAACTTCCTTGCGCACTGTGATACGTCATCAACCAACGACGCTTTGACTTCAAATTGCCGCGCGAAACGCCCACTGTGTCTGTTTCTATAGCAAACAACAACCGTCAACTAACAAGCGACGAGTCTACAGATGGATGTAAGATGCAGATAAAAGTAAATAAAACGGTATAAACTAAAAAGATGACACAGTCCATAGTAGTCCAAGGTAAGAAGAGAGTTCATTTGTAATGGTCATAACTAGAGTTAACCGCGTTACTCCCTGTGACAGGGGCTGAAACATGCTAATTTAGAGTCATGTCTGTATAGTAACCATGGCAATTTCAGGAAATATAACTAAATCTTATTGTAAGAAATATGATTTCAGGAAGTTTCTATATTACTGTCCCAGTCTGTTCATGTCAGCTGCTAGGTCTGTATTCAAACCGCAGTTTTCTTCTAGTGTTGAGCTTCTCTCAGCTAACGTTATGTCGGTAATAAAGCAGACTTTCCGTCATCAAGAGCATAAGATTCATTCAACTCAACCGTGTCCCCTTCAGATTTGAAGCAACTGGATTTTGAATTCTTCTACATACAGAAATGCTTACAAACATACATAACGTTACATACATGCATAAATAAATGTGGGTGATCTTTTAGAAATGATTTATCAACACAAGACCACTGATATGCAGGACTTGGTTTGCCATGTTAAAATAAAATGTAGAACTCAGCAATCTATGTATCAGTTAATAAAAATGCAAATGAATACATCATTTTTAAAACTGACAAATATTCATATTTAAAAGTGTTAATTTAATTTATGTTCAAAAGTATGCAAGATCCTCTTCCATACTAAACCAAAAATACTCCACCAGACAATAATATCTCACGGGGGGGAAAAAAAAAAATTAAAGTACAAGCTGTCATTGGTTCCCAAATAAACAACAAAAAAGGTGCATAACACGCACACCTGACCAAGAATTTCTGTCTTGTTGCCTCATGTCATTGTTTTGTGTGTGTTTTAGTTGGTCAGTGTGGGAATCAGGTGGGCTGCCGCTTCTGGGACCTCGCACTCAGAGAACACGCACACGTCAATCAAGTGAGAAATAATATGACACTATAGAGATGTTTTTCAAATACTTGTTTCTTTTTTCTAGTAATTTTTTTAAGACTTGCATGAAAATATCTATTTTACAGGTAGACTGAGTATGTAATATTTGTATCCTTTTTATGTAAGTTATGTTTTATGTTGTGTTAAGTTTATTTATCATGTCAGTCATATTCTATTCACAGTAAGATTTAGATTTAATATGTGAATCTCACCAAGCCTGTCAAGAACACATCTGGGTCACATTTCACCCTAAAATCAAAAGACAAAAAAGGAAATTATATTTTGCATTAAATATAAATACATATACAAATATGTTTAAATGTTCATTACATTTTAAAATTGAAACCAGCATAAAGACAGTATAAAAAGTGCCTCTATCATGTCTAAATTCTGCTTTACAGTTATATGGATTAGAGGTTAGCATTGTTTTGATGAGATTTACCATAAAAGGTTTTAAAAAAACCATAAAACGATTTTCTAAAATCGTTACTGCTGTGCTGTGAGGGAATATCTGGATCTGTTGACACTTCGGTCTGGCCACTTTTTTTTTTTTTTTTTAATCTGAAAATGATACAAAGGCCCTCTATGAAGAGATTTTATAGTGCACATTAAGAACACATGTAGCACATGGCCTGAGCATCGACCCAGCACTGGTTCACTCCCAGCTGCCGTTGTTTGAGTGTAAGAGCTTTGAGAGGAATGTCCTACAACTTTCAGCATCTGCCTTCTCACTAAATAGGACATAAATACATGAACAACATCCCCAGAACTGCTCTGAGATTCAAAAATATATAGTTTCTGCCAGAAATGTATTACTATTGTTCAGTAGAATGTACAAACTGAATTATTAAGCAATAATCACAATATTTCTTACATGTTTTAACTTTAATTGTAAATCCCCTTTGTTTGCCCCAAATTTTTTTTTTTAAATTTTCATGAATTAAAAGATAAATTTAATTAATGTGTTATGCCTTCATTCGATAACCAGAAAAATTTTACGCAGAATTTCTAAAGAAAAAAAAAACATTTCATAAGGCTATAAATAAAAGTAGTTTTTATTCATTCAAATAATTAGACATATTAAAACACTGAATTTGGTAACAATAAACAAGGTGAAAAAAATATTCATAAGACCCTAAACATTTTGGTTAAACTTTTTAATAGATTTGATGTTGAATTGTATACGTTTCATTATTTAATTAGACGTGCTTTTGATTAATAAAATTTAATTTAACCATTTAAAAAGGAGTCCAGAAAAATTAAAATGGAAAAAAAAAACAGAATCCAAAAAAATTTGAATTTGGAATTTAAAAAAAAAAGGAATTTGGGAAAAAATAAAACGTATTTCATAGGGCTCTAGCATATTTATTTATTGTGGTAATTTGAAGGTTGTGTCAAAAAGTTGTTGTTCTAGTCTAGTAGATAAATAGCTGTATTCTGTACGTTTTTACTCGTGTACGATAATTTTCTTCCAAATACGATAATTTTGAGCTTCTGGTACGATACTTGGACATTTCCAATCTGGCAACACTGGGTAGAACAAACCTCACCGGTTCCTTTTGTTTTTTTTTTTTAATCTGAGCAAGAGATTATTTAAAGTGAAAATTGTTATCATTTACTCATCCTTATGTCATCCATAAGACTTCAGTTAATCTTTGGAAACAGGCATCAAAAGTCCAGGTAACCAAAAGTGTAGAAGATCCAAAAGGTCATAAAGGGTTATTCTGCTGTGGTGACCCCTGATGAAAGCAAGCAGAGCGAGAGAGAGAAACAGTGACAAACCTGTTTTCCTATACTTTTGCCATATGATTATATGATCAAACTCCTGACCAAGTCTTGAGAAGAGATACAATCACTTTATATATATATATATATATATATATGAGATGAAGATAATTAATTTGGGCTTTTATTCACATTGAAACACACATAAAGCTTCTGGTACGATACTTGGACATTTCCAATCTGGCAACACTGGGTAGAACAAACCTCACCGGTTCTTGCGCATCCTGCACACATGAGCTTTTGTGTTTACTTTATGTACTGTATGTGTGTGAGTCATTGTTTAGATATAATTAAAAGCTTAAATTAAATCTGTTTGTTTGTATAATGCAATCATATCGCTTCACAAGACTTGGGTTAAACTGCTTGATTCATATGAATTCATTATCTTTTTGGGTCTTCAAAGTTTGATTACAGTGTAGTTTAATTTGTGTTTTGAAGATTAAATGAAGTCTTATGGGTTTGGAAGGGAATGAAGGTGAGTAAATGATAACAGAATGTTATTTTTGGTTGAACTAACCCTGGAAGTCAGTCTGAAAAAAAAGGTGGCTTTATTATTATTATTTTTTTTTGGATCGTAAACAGGCAGGGACAAAAAGTTGATAAGTCAAAAGATCGGATCTGTGCATTTTAAGCTTTGCTGTGTAAACAGTAAAAAAAAAAACTCTTTAGGTGTTTTTTTGCAATTCCAAGTGTGTTTTCGTGTGTCTTCACTGAGGAGAGGATTGAGTTAGGCCATAACGCCATGAAGCCCAGATCGGCGGAGTGTTGCAGTGATGTTTGTCCTTCTGTAGGTTTCTCCTGTCTTGAACTCTTCCCCAGATGTGTGGCTTGACACAATCCTGTTTCTGAGCTTTACAGGCAGTTTTTTTTTTTTTTTACCTCTGGGCTTTTGTTTTTGCTCTCATATGCATTTTTAGCTGTTAGACCTTTTATTACGACGTATGTGCCTTTCCAAATCATACCCATTCAATTGAATTTGCCACAGGTTAACTTCACTCGAAGTGTAGTAACATCTACAAGCAATATGAATGCTCCTGAGCTAAATTTCAACTGTCCCAGATAAGGGTATGAAAAAAAGTAATTTAAAGCAGTTTAACATAAGGCAGCAACATAACAAAAGGTGAAAAAAATGAAGGGGTATGAATACTTTTTATAGGCAGTGTAAAATCCATGTTTGGGTAAATCTGGCGAAGTTTTATGCTGCTGTCAGTCTGATCTAAAAAGCCATTAACTGAGTCTTGCTTTTGTCTCTGCAGATGGGAGTTTATGATGAGGCGCTGAGCAGCTTCTTTAGAAATGTTGACCAAAGGTAGCCTCTCTTTCTTCTCCTTATACTACCTTCTACTCCGTTCGTGTTACTTTGTTTGTGCACATATCCTCACCTCCTTGCTGATCCACTTGATTTATTGTGGGATCTTATGTGTGTATTTGTGTGTGTGGTGTATTTGTAGAGGAGCAGACTCTACAGGAGGCAAGATCAACGCTCTAAAGGCCAGGGTGAGCACCATGTTAGGTGATGTATTGGAGATGGGGCGTGGAGACCCATTAGATTTTGGCTGCTACCGTTTGTGTGTGTATGTGGTCCTGGTAAACCCTACGTTATGGGGAGAAAATGTCCCCAGAAAGATGACAATATTCAAAATCCTTGTCCTTGTGGTCAAGGATTTTTTTGGTCCCCATGAGGAAACAAGCGTATAAATTATACAAAATGAAGTTTTTTGAAAATCTAAAAATGTAAGGGGTTTAGGTGTACAGTTTGTACAGTATAAAAACCATTACGCATATGGAATGTCCCCGCGTTTATAATTTTGTTCAGTGTAAAAACAGATGTCAATGGTAAGTCCCCAACATAACAGAAAATCAATTGTATTTGTGTGCGTGTCTGCAGGCCGTGTTAGTGGACATGGAGGAGGGAGTCCTAGGAGAGATTCTGCAGGGGCCGTTGCGTTCTCTCTTCAGCAGCACACAACTCATAAGTGATGTCTCTGGTTCTGGGAACAACTGGTAAGAGTCTGTCTTGGCAGGGACTCTGTCACACAGCTTCTAAATGCATACTCTGTTCAGTGTGTGAATGTGCAATGATTGCTTTTAAAACAGATACAGTCTTACTAGTGATGGACAATATGATGTTATATACTTTGCAAAGACAGAAATTTGTCAACAGGTAGAGATTATTTTATACCTTTAATACCACAGTACATCAGATGCATAATTTTTAAGTTCAATGCCAAGAACAAAACTTGGGCATGTAAAAAAAAAATCACAGCATGAAATTAGTCTTTGGTTCTAATGTGGCATAAAAAAATGTAAATTATGTGTGCAGGTTGCTGTCAAAACCTATTAGGCATTACTGCAGTGTTGTAGTACTTAAAGGGATACTTCACCCCAAAATGAAAATTTTGTCATTAAGCACTTACCCCATGTCGTTCCAAACCCGTAAAAGCTTCGTTCGTCTTCGGAACACAATTTAAGATATTTTGGATGAAAACCGGGAGGCTTGTGACTGTCCCATAGACTGCCAAGTAAATAGACTGCAGGCAGCGTACGCTCTTCTGTGTCAGCCGCGCCACAAGGATACGTTTTCTACATGTATTTACACTTTGATTTCAAAGAAAACAGCGCATCCGTGTGGCGCGACTGACACAGAAGAGCGTACGCTGCCTGCGTTCAGCTCATATTCTCCAAATTGGTGCTACGGTGATGCGGAGAGACACAGAGGAGACAAATTGTTGAATAAAGGCGTTATTTTTGTTTTCTTCGCGTACAAGAAGTATTCTCGTCGCTTCAGAATACTTTTCTGGACCTTGACAGTGTAATTTACTTGGCAGTCTATGGGACAGTCACAAACCTCCCGGTTTTCATCCAAAATATCTTAAATTGTGTTCCGAAGACGAACGAAGCTTTTACAGGTTTGGAACGACATGGGGGTAAGTGATTAATGACAAAATTTTCATTTTGGGGTGGAGTAACCCTTTAAGCCTGTACAAAACCAGGATGTGGACTTCATCTCAAGTCAAAGTCCATATTTTCTGTGAATAATCAAGACCAGCTCATTCGAGTCGGAGTCCTGGCTGAGTACAAATGCTCTTGAAAATATGATCTTGCCCCAAGTCGTTTGCAGTGCAGACATATTCTACATGTACTCTGCCATTCACACTGTGTTCTTAATTGCGAAAGGCACAACATGCCAACCCAGTGGCTAAAGCCTAAAGTATACATCTTTTTTTTTTTGCACAATGTTTATGCATACATTGTGTGTGACATAAGTTTCAGCATCAGCACAATACGTGCACACTGTTCATGCACAGCATGATTTTTCAAAACCAGCTTGCACATGTGCCTTAATTTATCTTGAACTAATTAGTTTGGCCCACAAGGTGGCAACATTGTCCCAGGCCATTGTTTTACAGTCAAAAAAGAAATGGAAGAGATGGAACAACAACAAAAACACTCACTTACATCATTAACACGTCCCTTCACACTGATGTCTTTCACTCAGCATTTAAACAGGCTCGGGTAACCCCACTACATAGGAAACCCACTCTTTACCCAGCACTTTTAGAAAACTACAGACTGGTATCCCTTCTTCCATTCATTGCAAAACCACTTGAAAGAATTGTGTTCAACCAAGTCTCTGCCTTTCTCACACGTAAAAACCTGCTAGACAGCAAACAGTCTGGCTTCAGAAGTGGATATTCAACCGAGACTGCCCTTCTTTCAGTTGTTGAAGCCCTAAGACTGGCAAGAGCACCAATTCCTCTGTCAACCCTCATGGCAAAGGGCATTTCAGGAACCGCACTCTAGTGGTTCGAGTCTTACCTCTCAGATAGGGCCTTCAAAGTATCTTGGAGGGGTGAGGTGTCCAAGTCGCAACATCTAAGTACTGGGATGCCTCAGGGCTCAGTTCTTGGACCACTTTTTTTCGCTATCTACATGGCATCACTACGTTCTGTCATTCAGAAACATGACTTTTCATATCACTGCTATACTGATGTCACTCAACTCTACATCTCATTCTTGTCTGATGATCAGACGATAGCTGCTCATATCTCAGCATGTCTAACAGACATTTCTTGCTGGATTACCATCACCTTTAACGCAACCTTGCCAAGACAGAACTGTTTGTGGTTTCAGCCAACCCATCACTTCACAATTTCTCCATCAAACTAGGCTCATTAACCATAACTCCTTCAAAAACAGCCAGAAACCTTGATGTATGCCTACAAAACAACCACTTACTCTGCACCCCTTTACTTAAATTCACTACTTCAGACTTACGTGCCCTCCAGAAGCTTGCATTCTGCAAGTGAACATTGCATTATTGTGCCATCCCAAAGAGGCCATCCCGTCTTCAAGAAACGGCTAAAGACATATCTCTTCTATCTACACTTGATGCAGCATCTAATTCTTTATAGAACCAGGGTTACATACATAACAGAAACTTTCCTTTTAGGTTCACTTAGTGCTATGTCAGTAGCTTACGCTGTGGGAACACCTCAACACAATGCCATACTACAAAGTTACTGCCAGTTTATCAGCCTGTGACGACATACTGAAACAGAATATACCCTTAAACAGATGAATGCCAACATCCAGATTCTAAAATCTAAGAGACCCATTCAACCACCACACCAATGTCTTCCAAAGATGGACCACTAGATAACACGCAAGAAAGAACAACTCTTCTAGTAGAGTGAACTCAAATGCCAACAGGTGAATTTAACCCATGTACTTGATAAACAAGAATAATCACATAAAATCCAATGCAGATCCATTATTTCTTAGCAGTAACATCCTTGTTGCAGCCTCCAGAACAAGCAGACCAGATTTAAGCTACTGGCTTGTAGGGCTATGCAAATAATCAAATGCGATTATCATGCACATCTCGTCAGTAAAGCCGGTTCTGTGATTAGTAGTAAATCTCCATCACGTGCTTTCAGATGGAGCAGCATTTACTACACAGAGCCGTAGTTCACTGACAAGCTACGCAATATTGCGTTCATAATCGCCGATGTATCGCCTGCGATTATGAATGCGATATTGCGTAGCTTGTCAGTGATAGTTTTGTGATAGTTATTGTCATTGATTTGTGATAGTTATTGTCATATTGTTGGTCATGAACACCCTCATTAATATCTCTTATATAGCACCCAGCCATATTAAAATATATTTATATGGCTGGGTGCCCTGATGAAATTTATGCTCTTAAATCCCCCACTGTTTGGGCACATCTTTGGGTTGGTCTTTGCTCCTAATAATCAAAGTAATTAAATGCAGACCAGAAATATCATTATTACGCCTTAATCGATATGAAACAGTCTCATTATCAATTCATAACTCAACCCATAACACACAGATATATTCAGGACACAGATAAAGCAGGCTAGCAGGTTTTTGACAGATGTTTATGCTTCAGCCAGATGAAAATAATTCACAAGAATACCTTGTCAAGAAAAATCTTCATTTCCTCTTCTATGAGATGGCTATGGCCCCGTTTAGTGTAAACAAGGGCCAGAATGTTTTGAGCTTGTTCACTTTCAATCATATTGGATCAAAACATGTGATCACATTGCATTTGTAGATTTGTAGCATAATAGCTCAATTAGTCAATGTGTCTTCTCAAGTCAGCTGTTGTGATAAAACAAGGGTCAAAACTTTGATCCCCACACTTTTTGTTGCTTGTGTTTTGACATGATGTATGCAGTCATGAGGATTTTGTTTCATTGTCACCCTCACCTCGAAATCTGATCACATACATGTAACTGCAACTTGTAAACACTGGTGACCACTCTGACCACTTGTCACCCATCACCTGAGATGGATCTTAATACCAGATATAAACCAGGCCTATGTTACTATTCCTCATGTGGTTGACATACCCATGTGTTTTTATACTTCAGAAGCTCCTGACAGCCTCCAGGCATGTTACTGAACAGTCCCATTTTATAGTACTTGACCGTTTAAGTGGTTCTTCATGTATCAGTGCACAAGGTCAATTGCTTGTCATTCTAGACAGATATTCAAAAACTGATTTTGATTGAAATGAACCAGCCGGTCATAACCTAAGGCCAAAGATGAGTCAAACAGAGTCAGACATTGTCACATTGACTTGCAGTTGGTGTTAAAAAACAAACATCAGTTCACCAAAATCATTACAAGTTTTGATGTTTAATTTGGCTTTTAAAACAAATACATGCTATACCTAGCTATTAAACCACAGCCTTTTTATGCAGAATTTGTTTATACTTTAAAACATTTGTAATCCTTAATAATATGGTGCAGTTTTAATAGCCCTGTTCTAAAAACTGGTAAGCTGTCTACTGAGGCAGCGTTTTAAGACATGTAGACCGATGTAAAATGTTATCATAACAAATGCGTACAACGATTAGTTCCAGGTTGGACAAGCCATATTCTAAGAGTGCTGATTTTTAATATGTATCCTATTCTTTAGTTAATGACAGAGTATTTTTAGTTATGCATTACGTTTTTTTTATTTGACTGTTGATCAGTGACTGATACTGTGATTTGTCTATGACTCTTAGGGCGGTCGGGCATCACACATATGGCTTGGCCTACAGAGAGCAGATTGTGGATCAGGTCCGCAAGGCTGCAGAACACTGTGATTGCCTTCAGTGCTTCTTCCTCATTCACTCTATGGGAGGAGGTAAGCTTCTGATGTCTGGCATGTTACCCGTGTTGGTGGTTGAGAAACTTGGGCTGACCTAAGCGTACATTTGTGTGTTTAGGTACTGGTTCGGGGTTAGGCACGTTTGTGTTGAAGCTTCTAGAAGACGAGTTCCCAGAGGTATGTCGGATAGTGACCTCTGTCTACCCGACAGCAGAAGATGATGTCATCACCTCTCCTTACAACAGCGTCCTAGCCATGAAAGAACTCACAGAACACGCAGACTGTGTCTTGCCAGTTGATAACCAGGTATCCCTCTCCTGGCATCATAGCTCTCAAACCATATTTGCAGTCATGTATATTCTGATAAAGCAAGTAAAGACACGTTGCACCATATTTGACGTCAATGATGCTAAACATTGCTCACATTTCTCATTACCAAACTGGATGGAAAGATTTGAATAATGAATATCAGTCTGTTCCTCATACAAAGCTGTGGTTTCTTGCCTTTGGGAAAGTTGGAATACAAGTCACATGGACTACATTTATTGTACTTTTTTAACGTGTTTATAACTTGACAGACCTTGCCACTGCTGCTTTTCCCAAAATTGTTCCTGTTGCGTTACACATATGAAGGGACGTCATAAAGTTTTGGAACAGTGTGAGGGTCAGTATATATCATGATGATTTCAATTATTATTTTTTTTTACCTTTATTGTAGTCTCTGGTTGATATTGTTGGTAAGATACAACACATGTCCAACACTGGCAAACCAGGCTGTACCATCAAGAAGGACTGTACCATCATATCGGGACAAGGAGGGGTGGTGAAAGTCGAGAAACCTTTTGATGCCATGAACAACATTGTGGCCAATCTACTTCTTAATATTACCAGGTACTAAATGCTTTGTGACAATGGACATTATCTGATGAGCTATTTTGTTCTGGTTTATAGTCTCAGATTGGTGGATAATTTCTATATGTGTATATGGCTAGTAAGGTCATCACATAAAAATTGGCACTTAAATATTTTTTTAATTGACTGGAAAACATTCTAAAAATAAAAAGCTTAGAAGACATGTAACTAGCCATCTGTTGTCTTTGACTCTTTCAAAAAAAAAAAGTAAGACATTTTATCACTAATTTAATTAGATTTTATCACTAATTTAATTGTATTGAATTAATTTCTCCTCTTGCAGTTCAGCACGGTTTGAGGGCTCTCTCAACATGGATCTGAATGAGATAGCCATGAACCTTGTTCCGTTCCCGCGGTTACACTACCTTTTGTCCAGTCTAACTCCTCTATACACACTTGCTGATGTCAACATACCGCCACGCAGGTTTGTCATTATATATCTGCAGTAATTTTTACCTATTTTACATATATATATATATATATATATATATGTGTGTATATATATATATATATATATATATATACACAAATAAGAAATTACTGATTTGTAGTTCAGGTAGGTTCCTGAATGTTTTTTTTTTTTTTTTTGGGAAGTCACTCCCTGTCCTCTATATCAGTACTGGGCTTAAAATGATTTAAATGTAAATTTTACTTTTTACTTTTCATTTTTATTCTTTTCAAAATCATGTAAATTCTTAAAATCTGAAAATGCCATGGACATTAATAAATAAATAAATACACTGATCAGCCACAACATTAAAACCACTGACCAGTGAAGTGAATAGCATTGATTATATTGTTACAGTGGCACCTTTAAAAGTTTGGGATATGTTAGACAGCAAGTGAACAGTCAGTTCTTGAATTTATTGTATTTAAGCAGTCTTTAAGTGTTTTTTTAATTATTATTTTAATGATCGTAAAAAAAATTAAGCATGAGAAACCAATGCTTATTATAGTGACATTCTGTGTCAAATCGACTGAATTTCAGAAACTTCCCCAGCTCAATATTTTTCTGAAGGAAGATAAACATGTATAGTGATGAATGCCAAAATATTAAATGTCATGGATGTATATTTACTGAGTAATTCACTGTTTTGTAAAGGGGGGTCAAAATGACATTTTCACCTGAGATTTAGAGCCAAATTACAGGAGGGTAAAAATGACTTAAACGTAATGATGCTGCCATCTTTCTATTATTACACAGAGATCGCTAGGTCTATTAGTAACATCGTCTATTAGTAACATCAGTTGACTTCAGCAATCTTTGTTGCATTACATGCCAATAGTGACCTTCTTGTTTCCCTCTATCAAGACAATTGCATAGAACAGGGGCTCTCAGCTCTGGCCTCCTGCAGAGTTTAGCTCCAACCTTGATCGAACTCGCCTGCCAGTAACTTTCTAGTGATCCCGAAGACCTTGATTAGCTTATCCAGACGTATTTGACTAGGGTTGGAGCTAAACTTTGCAGGAAAGTGGACCTCGAGGGCCAGAGTTAAGAACCCCTGGCATAGAGCATACATGTAAAAAAATATATTGTTTCATGCAACACATTTCTGGTCTCCCACATTTGCATGCATACGAAAGCAAGTCAATGAAACGAAAAGTGTAGTGTGATCGACCCTTCAGAGCTAAACTCTGCAGGACAGTGACCTTCCAAACTGAAGTTAAATAGCTCTGCCACAGAGGGTGTCTGCTCATTACAGGTCCTTGGATAATATTCCCAATTATCCCCATGCCAACAACCCTGCATGGAAGGGAGAGACTTTATATGGAAAAACCTCTTCATGTGTGTTTGGTCATCACCAAATGGATGCTGTGCTGTGTTCTGTAGGCTGGATCAGATGTTCTCAGATGCATTTAGTAAGGAGCATCAGCTAATCAGAGCCGACCCCAAACACAACCTGTATCTGGCCTGTGCTCTTATGCTGCGTGGGAACGTTCAGTTGTCAGATCTGCGCCGGAATATTGAGCGGTTTGTTTCTCCCTTATTTTGATTTACTCTTGTTTTGTTTCTTTTTTTTTTTCATTATAATATACCTTTTTCTCACTGCATGCCCGCTTAATGAATTCTTATAAATAAATTGCACATACGATGTAAAAGATTTTGCAATGCAGACAGCTTCTTTGGTTAAGTTATTTTTTATTTATTTTTTTTTGCGCAAGTGTGTAGATCTTGAGCCGAACTAAAGTTATTAGTCACTGGCAGCTTCAGTGATGGGGAATGCTGGCTTTCTGTATATTTTCAGTTTCAATATCCATTTTGTTTTTATTCTACTAACATAAACTAGTCTTGGTTTTGATAAGTCTTGGTTTTGCAATGTGTAAAAACAATGGACTTAAAACATTGTTTGGTGTTTCAAGATAAAAACATATGCACTGACAGGTTTCTTACTGTAAGATGGTTGAATGACTAAAAAAAAGTGCATAGTGACTAGGGCTGCACGATAAATCGCATGCGATATTTAACGCGCATCTTGTCAGTAAAGCCGCTTCTGTAATCAGCTGTAAATCTCCATCACGTGCGGGCTTTCACATTGAGCAGAATTAACTACACAGAGCCGTTGTTCACCGACAAGCTGCACAAAATCACGATCATATTTTGCGCATGTTTTGCGCAGCTTGTCGGTGAACAACGGCTCTGTGTAGTTAATGCTGC